GTTTTAGTCTTGCTACACTAGTGCATATCTAAAAGGTTCATTCCACGAGTTCAAAAAAAACATACTAGATACTACCAATGCAAAACATGTAGGTGTTATTCTTCAATTGCATCACAAATCAAGTACCTTCTTGAACACTCCATCGCGTACACGATCAAGAATTGCTGGAACAGCTGCCATCACAGTTGGCATCAGTGCAGTGGCATCCCCCTTTGTTCCCTTTTTTATTTTGTTTGATGTATCAGTTAGAGTCAAAGGAGATCCATATCCTATAGCGCTTCCAACAGACGCAATCAAATTCTAAACAAGTAGTTGAGTTTGTCAAAACATGCAAGACCACAAAACAGAGGAAACTAAATTCTAAACAAATGTCTTTTAAACTGAAATATTTATTCAGCCATACCTCGGCTACTAATTCAAGGATATGAGCCATTGGTAAGTATGCTAGATACACATCCTTATCAACAAGATTAGGAACTATTGTCATTATAGCTGAGACTGTTGCCAAGACATTTCTATGTGTCATCATCACACCCTGTGCAAAAGAAAGAAATTAAAGAAGCAGTATAAGAAAAAGAAAGAAACAAAGAAAAAGGAAAATGATAGGAAAGCAAACAACTTTTAGATCCATCCAAACTACATATAGGAGTTTAAATGTTTAATACAGAGAAAGGATAGAGAAGTTAACGTTGAAAAAACTATACATCTCAAAGATGCTTCTAACCTTAGGCAGCCCTGTACTTCCACTAGTGTACATTATAACAGCAACATCTGCTGGAAGAGGTAAATCGGCATCAACAGGATTTTCTCGACCAAGTTTCTCCACATTACTGAAGGAAGTGATAGTCCAGCCATGCTGAACAGACGAGGCTTCGGATGGGATATCATCATCCATGCATATCACACGTTTCACTGAGTCAAGTTGTCCACTAATAAGTGCAAGTGCTCTCAATTCTTTGCACCCACATATCACAGTTGTAACCTCTGTCTGCCATAGATTTTGAAAGCAATGTTATAAAAACGGGAGCACATGAACTCAAATGATAGTAAAAAAAACATAACAATATGAGTAAATCATCTTGAACCACAGACAAAATCCAGAAAGTAGATCTCAATACTGAGAACAAGTTGCAGCGAAGATAAACTCCATGAAACAAAGTTGAGTTTTTTACCAGTAAATACACTTTAAATGCTAAAATTGCATGTTGAGCAGTAGTGTGATGTTTTAGAAACAAGTAAAATACAAAGGAAAAGAAGGGAAATGAGGCTTGGGGCTTGATCAACAGCTTGTGTATGAGAAAATGGAAAATTAAATAAAGTAAAACCTTAGTTTACCTAAAAACAATTTCCTTTTCTGTTTCTATCATTTATGTTTCAATTAGTAAGATTAAAATATTAAGATCATAAGCATTCACTCAATCTCCCTTCTGCTTGCCTCCCATCCCACCATTCCTTCCTTTCACCTCCTCATTAATTAGAGATAACTGTTGCCCATCATTCCTTTCCATTCTTACCACTGCGGTTTATTTAGGAAAAATGGAAACCTGGTACAAATAGAGACCTTAAGAGAGTTGTGCTAGTCCTTTATATTATGCCACCTTAAGAGGTGCAAATAATATTTCTTCAGCACCGCGGATGGATGCTGCATATTGACGTGATAAATTTTAAGGAACGTTTTACGCATATTGTTGTGACTTGTGATACAGGATTGTCTTCATGGCATCTCTGTTGTTCTGTTACTACTGCCAGATGCATGTTTTAGAAAAGTAATGTTTTGAAAGACATCAATGAATTGTTCGGCTTAAGAAAATATTCTCTATTTTCATTTTAATTCTATAAATAATTGCAAAAAATGTCATCTTATTTTTACTATATTCCTTGTATTTAAATATTTGTGTTGTTTCACTACAAATATTTGGAAACATGAAATAAAATGGAAATAAGGCATTTGCAATTATTAATCAAAGCAGGAAAGGGAAACAGAGATTTTCCCAAACTAAACAAGTAAACATATCCTTTTCCCCCACATATCATATTATCCTTTTTTCTCATCGTATAAACAGAATAACTATATCTTAATTCTTATTTGCAATTAAAACAACTTCAATTTTCTTGTCTCTTTTATTTTCTGTTAATATTTTTACTATCAAGAGTTCTCAACAAATAGTGAAGAAAGCAACAGAGAGAACCTCATTCAGTGAATGACATAAAGCTTCCTCTCCCAACGACGCATATATAGTCACAACGGTCGCATTTCTCCTGAAGCAACCCTGAAATAACCAAAAAAAAAGTTACACATGATCATAATCCCCATGGTAACAAATTGCAACTACGTTATTCGAACCATAAAAACAAACACCTGAAGTGCAATAAACCATTCTTCTCTAGTTTCAGCAAATATAGCAATACGTTCTTCCCTAACATGACCAATATTCGCCAAACCAGAAGCAAAAGCCGTAACAGCTTCGAAAACTTTACGATACGTAAGCCATTTATATTCACCGAGATGAACCTTCTCGAAGCTTCTTCCGTTAACCGTCTCGATCTCACTCGCGATCAGCTCGCGTGTCCCGAGCAACAACCTATCATGGTGCACCTTGCATGCACGCTCGAACATCTCCGCTAGTGTGGTCACGCCCTCCCAGGCAGAACTCAGCGGAGAAGTGAAGCGGTGGTTTTGGATCGCCACGCCGGGGTCGCCGCCGACGTCGACGGGTAAACCACGGCGTTTGCGGTTATTGGAGTTACGTAAGAGGAGCATGATGAGAGGAACAACAACACCGATAATGTAAGGATTCATCGTTAATATATGTGAAAATTTTGATTAATTGAAAATGAAAATGGAATCGGTGAAACGAGAAATGGAAGAGAATTGAATTTTTTTCAATTTTTTGCTGTTGCAGGAATCAGAAGAGAGTGAAGGCTTTTTTGTTTATGAGAAAGGGTTATAAATGGAAATGAACAAGTTACGTTGAGAACAATGTGAGGGAAGAAGTTATTTGGCGGAGAGATCAATGAAGAGATTCAGCTTTGGAGGATCACACTATCACAGAATTCACAACAGTCACACACAATTTTACATACAATTTTTAATTTTTTTCTCTACATGATATAATAGTACTATTTATAGAGAAAATAAAATTTTAAATATTTGTAGCATTTTTTATTATTATTAATTTTTTAAACCCACAAATATCATCCATCTATAGAACACAATCCTCATGAAGTTAAGGCAGAAAATTTTGTCCGTAAGGAAATTATATTCTATTACCATGTGGGAGCAAACCTATTAACTATCAATCTGGAAGGGAAAAAATGTTATCATGTTATTGAATTCCAAGAACAAATTGGATGGGCCAATCTATTAACCTCAATAAGTATGTTGAACAAAATCTTAGAATGTATCAATTTTCAAGAATGTTATCTTTAGACTTGTTAGTAATAAAGTGTTATTACTTATCAAATAGTTAGAGTAAAAAGAGCATCTTCATTACTCTCGTTAATTATTTTATAATTGTTCACATTTTTACATAAGTTAAACATTTTTTTTCATTTTTCACTTTAATGATGCAGCTCATCTTTTTATTCTTAAATGGATTTCATCGTTTGTCTATTTTCAGCAACGCTCACTCAAGTGTTCTTAAATGATTGAAAATACATATTTAATAACACTTATTTAAGTAAATATTATTAAATGTCTATTTTCAACCAAAATCATTCAAGTAAGCATTAATAAATGTTGAAAGTACATATTTAATCGCGTTCACTCAAGAGCATTGTTAAATGGTAGAAAGTAGATATTTAATAGCAATCCCTCAAAAAACTCATGTCTTTATGTCTCAAACTAAACAAATTTTATCAAATAATATATAAAAGTTATTTTTCTCTTTTATGAATTTTATTTATAAGTATATGATAGTTTTTGATTGGATTAAGACACCATTAAGACACAAAAGTAAGACATTTGATGTACATTCAATCAGTGACTTTGTTAGCATGTGTGAATTATTATTTTTACAATTGTTCAGACGTGATATTAAGGTAACGTGTGAACATCTCGAAAAAAATTTGTTCACATCTAACCTCGAATAAGGTCTGAATAATGTTTTTCAAGTTTCGTTTGACTTCAAGAAATGTATGAACAATTTTATTTGCAAATTTTCACATGTAACCATAAGATTACATGTGGATATTTTTTCCATATGGTATGAGTAAAATAATTATATGTGACTTTAAATCAGATTACATTAAAAAGGAAGATTGCAATGTCAAATAGAGAGTGTTGCTTTTAGCATTTTTGAAAAATACTATTAATGTGATTATAAAACTCAAACCCATCCTATTAAAACCCATCACTAATTTTTAAAATATGTAAATCACATATATAACAGAGATTTCTGAATGAAAATTAGTCCAAACACATTAAAAATTACACCCATATGTTAGATCTTTGGTAGAACTGAAATAAGTTCGAAAACAAATCACAAAAATTTGCCGATTACCAACTCGATTAAGATTATTGACATTTACAATCACTCATCATCATATGTCTGATTATACACCATCTCGATTCCTCACTAACACTCCTAAGTGACATGTGTTCATATGTTATTTAGTATATTGACCAAAATTTAAAACCCTTTTTATAAAATTGGATTGTTTCTGTCCTAAACTAAAAGTGAAAAGGCACTAACAATATTATGTTGATAACTTAATTAAACAACTTTCCCTATCACTAATTTACTCCTATTAAGAAAATATGTTAAGGTCTTCAATTTACAACAACAAAAATACATTAACATTTTAAAGTTCTTATTCCATACATCATTAAAGGTAATGAAAGTTATATTGGAATATATAATTATGAAGTAGTTTAATGTAACTCAGATATAATTATGAATAAAATATAACTATGAATATTTAATATAAATTATTTAATGTAATCGGATATTAAAAAGTAAGTAGAAATAGATAAGCTTTCTATTAAGAGTGTGTGTGGACTTTTGACCTAAAAAACAGGAACATTCTAACACCGATGACGTGACCGAAAGAGAAAGAGAAAGAGACAAGAAACGTTTCGTAAATGGCAACATCAAAACGTGACAGAGGACACAAATCGCGTGGAAGTGAAAAAAAGAGTTACGTATCTCTTCATATTCTTCTTCTTCTTCTTCTTCTTTCACCGTTACTTCTTCTCTTCCATTACTAGCTCTCTTCTATTCTTTCTGAAACTGTGATTCGAAGAAGAGCTTAGTAATGGAAGAGAGCGTCATTTTTCAATGGAGTGTTATCAGATCTGTGTTGTCAATCCTTCAATGGTGGGCTTTCAATGTCACTGTTATCATCGTTAACAAGTGGATCTTCCAGGTTCTCCTTCTCCTTCATTTTCTTCCAATTTTCAAATTGCTTAATTGTGCGTATATATATATAATTCCTTTTTAAATTATATTTTAAGCCACAATGTGAGACTCGCATGCGTTCCTGAAATACAGTGCTGACGTGGAGATTACGAGTTCAAATCCTAGAAACAACCTTTACACGTGCAAGACTAAGGCTGCGTACATCTACCTCCCCAAATCTCACTAGATCCCACTAGGTCGGAATCTCGTGCCGGGAGTCACCTTTTTTATTTATTATGATACTGATGTAAGAACAACAATTTTGATAAGGACCTAAATGATTCTGATGGCCAGATTGTTTAGAGCCTATATATTCTTTTTAATCTGTTTTGTCAATCTTAATCACTTTTTCTACAATGGGCATTTGTGTATTTAGGTATGATAAGAAATGCTTTTAATTATTGTTTTTTTTCCTGCAGAAATTGGATTTTAAGTTTCCCCTATCAGTCTCCTGTGTCCACTTTATTTGCTCATCTATAGGAGCATATGTGGTAATTAAGGTGCTGAAGGTTAAACCACTGATAAATGTTGGCCCTGAAGATCGCTGGAGAAGAATCTTCCCAATGTCATTGGTGTTCTGTATTAACATAGTTCTAGGAAATGTGAGCCTACGTTACATTCCAGTTTCGTTTATGCAGACTATAAAGTCATTCACACCTGCAACCACTGGTAAGGCTCAACCATGGGTAACAGTTTCAATACATATTTGCTACCTGCTTCATGTTGAAACTTTAACGACACGTTAATCTGATCGTGGTGAAATGGCACAGTTATTTTGCAATGGCTAGTGTGGAGGAAGTATTTTGACTGGCGTATTTGGGCTTCTCTCATACCTATTGTTGGAGGGATTCTTCTTGCATCTGTAACAGAGCTTAGTTTTAATATGTTTGGATTTTGTGCCGCCTTAGTTGGCTGTTTGGCTACATCTACGAAGACTATCCTCGCGGAATCTCTTCTACATGGATACAAATTTGACAGGTATTGTCTTTATGCTTGCTTTCTCTTTTTTCCTTTCTCTATTTCTTTTATTTTTTGGATTTTTCTGTGTAAACTTTCCAGCTTTTTTATGTGTCTGCAATACCTATTTCGTATAGTGGACAGCAAAGTTTTTAACTACTACATCATCTTTCATAGTCCAATTATGTATTTTGTTATAACTTTTTCTCCAATTTAAAGCTAGGAAGTATTCTACATTGACACAGACACTGCTACAAGCATCTATCAAGCATAACAAATAGATGCATATTAATATAGTGCTTTTATTTGTCACAAATCAACATAACAACAACCAAGCCTTAGTCTCAGTAGATCAGGCTGGCTACATAGATTGAGCGACACCATAAGCTCTATCATAAATCATGCCCCTTGACAAAACATTGATCTCTAAGGTTTTTCTTGGCCTTTCTCTACCTCTATAAATTGGACTAACCTCCATTTGATCTACTCTCCTTACTGAGGCTTCTACCGCTCTCTTCCATATATGTTCAAATCACCTAAGGCCCAACTTTACCATCTTTTATATAATAGGAGCTACCCTAACTTCGTTACATAGCGTTATCTGTGTTATATGATAGTATTGAATTAAAGGAGTACCTTTATAATATAAGATATGACACTAAGTGGAGTCAAAATGACTTCTAAGATTAACAAATATTTTGCTTGTAAAAACCAGGCATGTTTAATATAACATGACTGGTGGAAACAATTCTATTTCGATCTTGATGGTATTGTTGGGTATAAACTTGCTACGCTTTGAATGCACCAACTTATATATAAAATGCCCATTCCATTTTCATGAGATGATAATTCTTTCTAAAATAATGTTTTCTTTTGTGCTTTTTATGCTGCCCTTGGACATCTTTGATTCTACATATACACATTGAACAATATGCCATTCTACCATGTTTAACCATTATGGTTAAATGAACTAGTTTTGTGCTGATATTATGCTTTTTTGGATTTCTTTACTCCAAACTGTGCCAATCCTACATGGACCTATCTATGCCTGAAATATTCTTTTAATACCTTGATGCAAGGAGAAAAAAAGATTGATGCAAGATATTGATCTAGATGTGGCCTTTTTTGTGTCATTTACCTTCTGAAATCTGCAATAATATCAGGAGTATGAAATCTTTTATTGTTGTAGCTAAGCAATCCGTGTCTTGGACTCTTAGCTTGTATGGAAACATTTCTGATCAGCATATGCTAAGGTTTTAATGATGTTCCTTTTGTTTCCCTATGTGTTTGATTCAGAAGAAAAGGAAAAAAGTTGTCACTGGATTGTGCATCTTTATCACCTATTATTGGCTATAAAATTATACTTTGTCCTACTCTGTGCATGCATAGGTTGCTTTGCATTGTTTTGACAGCGTTTCTGCAGTGCACAAGCTATAATATTTCTTTTTCATAATTCTTCAGCATAAACACAGTTTATTACATGGCACCTTTTGCAACCATGATCTTGGCACTTCCTGCTATGTTACTTGAAGGCAACGGAATTATTGAGTGGTTCAATACTCATCCATATCCTTGGTCAGCCCTCAGCATTATTTTTAGCTCTGGCGTTTTGGCTTTCTGCCTTAACTTCTCCATCTTCTATGTCATTCACTCTACCACTGCTGTAACGTTTAATGTCGCTGGAAACCTTAAGGTGAGAACTATCTAGAGATTCAAACGCTCCAAGGCTTCAAACTATTATATTTTCCGGTCATTGACATTTTAAGTGCATGACGGGATTATTAATACCAGAGTAATTTGATGGGTCGGATGAATTCAAACTATGAGGATGACTTAGTGCACGAGGCTCCTATTTAGTGGGGTCTGAGAACGGTAAATGTACGCAGCCTTATTCAAAAAATGGAGAGACTGCAACTTTACCATTGGACCAACATCATCTATGATGCCGTAAATTGTAGTTAACCAAATTATGATGCCTGCAATTTTCAAATTAATAACCAGAGTCATGTTTTTTGTGCAGGTTGCAGTTGCTGTCCTAGTTTCATGGATGATATTTAGGAATCCGATATCATATTTAAATGCTGTTGGATGTGCCGTGACTCTTGTTGGATGTACATTCTATGGTTATGTAAGGAACATGCTCTCCCAACAACCACCAGTTCCAGGAACTCCTCAGACACCAAGAACCCCTCGCAGTAAGACGGAGTTGCTTCCTCTTGTAAATGATAAATTAGAAGATAGGCTCTAATTGATTTAGCTAAGTCACGTTTATGAAGTTTCTTCCATTTGGAAGCCTGTATGTCAAAGTTACAAAAAGAAAAAGTGACCTTGATTATTACCACAATTTTTAATACAAGGTTCTTTCTTTTAGCCCTCTATTGTTAATTATTGTTTATTTTTCTGTGCGAACGAATGTGAGGAACATACCTAATAGTAACTTTCACAAATTCGCTATCAATGCGAAAATCGCCTGATTTTTAGTTCCACAAAGTATGGATCAAGTAAGTATTCAAATAATTGGCTTGACACATCTTGATTGAAAACCTTGAAGGTCAAGGTTTTCTGCTTATGTTTTTTTAACTTATTCATTCTTTCCAATGTGGGTCTTTTTACCATATCTTTCACCTGTCATGAAGCTTAGAATATTGAACATAAAGTTTAACTTTATTGGGGCAGCAGAAAATTGTGCTAACATATACCATTTAAAAGTTGGTATAGATAATATAATTTCTAGCAGGGGTCCTAAACAAAATTATTGATCAAGGGTAGTCTATTTGGATAAAACATAAAATTGTTGGTTTGGTTCATGTATGTTGCTTCATCTGGAGGGGAAAAAAAGCTTTGCTGTCAATGCCATAGATAGTATAGTTGCAGATTCGGTTAAATAGTTATAGGTTGCTTATTTTGTCTTATTACAATTTAAATATGCTGGGAATTTAATTTTGCTGAAAAATAGTGTTCTAGCTCTTACATTAGCTGAAGCCTGAAGAATCATCAGCCCAAAGAAGGAAAGAAAGAATTGGTAACAAGCATGGGCAAGTTGATTATTTTCAATCATATACTCAGATACAAGACTTAGGTTTATGATGAGACAGTCGTCACCTTAGTACAAGGATATTATAGTTAGAACTAGTTACAATGTGAACTAGATTATAGATGAAGATACATAGTATTATGTTAATTTCCCCATTTTCCCTTCCCATGTGGAATCCTAACCAGTAGGAACTAAACTAAGGTCTAAATCTAAGCCAGAAGCCAGAAATTCTTCTGCCACCTTGTGCTGATATAATAGCCAGTGCCTTGGCTTCTCTTCCTCACTCCTATTGTCAAGCACTCTGCATTGTTGATGCAATGCTCCACAAACTCCTCTGTGTTGCTACTGCTGCTTCCACAAATGCTGTCCAAAATAATGATTAATTGAAGTACTAATGCTGAAGAGGTTTCTGAATGTTTGTAATTAAAATAGCTTATAAGCAAAATCTCACATTTTAAAATAACCAGTCCTAGAATAAGCTGAAACAATAATGGTTGAAAATGAAAAGTTCCTTAGCAGAGTAATAAGACAGATTTTAAGAGTTGGGAATAGAGGGTTGAAGAATGATGCAGTGGGTGTGGATAATTGGATTCTCACCAGTTGAAGATAGAAGATGGCTTCTTTTGGCCTAGTACAAGGACAGAGACCTCAAGCTTCTTTACTTGGCTCATAACTGTGGCTAGTTTTAGTCCTTGAATTACAAGAGCTTCTACTTCCACCTGTCTCAAAACCATGACATTATCAAAGGGAGATATTTGAAAAGAAAAGTTGAATGCCTAAACACTTATCCATTAATTCTCTCTGAAAAATGAAAGCAGAAAAAGGGACTAATGCAAGAAACTCAGACCCTTTGGCTTAAGAAAAAAGCAAAAGCTGAAAATAATTAATGGGTAATGAATTATTAAAATGAAAAATTAGGAAATGAATGAACTTCCTACTTCAGTTCACTCATTTTGAACTGCATTTCAAACTCACAATGCTATATGACCAAAGATCTACCAAGCACAGTGAAAGGAAACTGATGAAAAAAAATAAGCTATATGTTCTATCTGTTTCATCTCAAGAAATGAATGGGGGAGACTAAAATGTTAACCATACTCCAAACTTAATTAACTAACTATAACTAACCTCTGGTTTGCATTCTTTGCAAAGAGATCCAAGATAATT